TATAGTCAAACACATTACCAAATAACGTTGATTGTTCAACTTCCAAAATACATAACCAAGTAGTCTGAAATCAAACATATACGCAAATAACATGTTCAAATATAAAATGCACAACGAAGCCACTAGTTCAAATTCTAATAACTAATCCATCAAGCCCAATCGTCTTGCCGTCCTTGAAATCCAATCTGTTAATTCTTCAGCGTCTAAAGGGATCGTCAACCATGTCTCTCTTAATAACGTTGACTGCCCAAAAATGTCAAYGRYTGCTCTATAAAGAGGATCCCTTTTATCAAGGTCAAGAGTGTTCAACCGTTCCATACGAGCACTTAGGTTTGAGGCATTTTGTGTAACAAGTGTTTGAAGTGCACCCCTCATCTCTAGAGCCAATTCATCCATGTCGACCTTGGTTTTAGTCTTCTTCTTCGGTCTAGATGGAGTTGTGCTTGCAATATTGACGGAAGGTCCTTCCTCCTCATCTCCATCCCCCTCGTTTTCAGTTTCTTGAGTAGCAGGGATATTGGATGTAAATGATGAAGATGAAATCATAATCCTCTCACGGGTTGAACTAGGGGAATACGCACGAGATCCAGTAGCAGAAGTCCCCTCGAACAAAGCTATGCATAAATCAGGGTATATCAATGGTGATGTCTTCAATGTTCGGGCCTTTGGATGTCCCTGCATCCAAATTAAGTATTATTATTTAAATGTTGCTCGTGTTTTTGTCTATAATATCWAAAAAGGTAAAAAAAAATAAAAACTAACCTTGAAAAAATCTTCCCATTCTTGATTAGTTAGGGTGAACGTATTCATTTCAGGGTCATAAAGATTCCATGTTTTATTCCGTAGGTACACCCATCCCGAATACTTTCCCTTCAAATAATCATATTGGTTTTTCAGTTGTTTCTGAGTGAGTTTTACATGGCAAACTTCTTCAAGTTTGGTTGCCACTTGCACCCAAGTCTCCTTGCGAAGACTACCTCCATTTCGACCCACCTTATTGACCTCTTTTATACAAGTCTCTAGAAACCGTTTGGTAAGTTCGTTTGTCCACTTCACACGCACATTCTCATCCATGACTAATATCAATCATAAAAGAAAGAACTTTTAAAAAGCTCAAAAATTTGCAATATAACGAAAATAAAGATGGCAACTTTTAGCAACATTTTCATTTTTTCTCATGTTGTTTGAGAAGAACTGCAGATTTGATTCTGGACCCATAAAATAGAAAGTGGAGGTAAATGGTATTAATTTGACAAAACTATCCACAATGACCTCAGGCAATCAACTTATCACATGGATGGAGGATCTTGTACATGTTATTCTATTTGCCAGTTTAAAAAGAAAACAGCAGCAATATTTCCGGAGTGACATTGTTCACTTGAGCTTAACATGATGASTTACTCCCAGTGAAGAAARAACATTTTCTTMTTGATCCTAGAGCTATAAAAATTAGTGATACACAAATCTGGTAGCTATAAATTCATTCTAATGTTTTTTAACATAATCTAAAGACAGGAGTAAGAAGCTAGTTTTTATCAAGGATAA